ATGAGAGCCAGAAAGTTATGGGAAAAGTACAATTAACCTCTGACTGCTGAAACCCTGAAAAAAAGAAATTGGACAATAAAAGCCATGGTAATCAAGGAGGCTGAAGTCATGATTTTCCTAAGCAAGGTAACAGCACTGGGTAAGGATAAACCTCTCCATGTATTTCTGCATGTCTGCATGTGTTTGCTGAGGTGAGAAGGACTTTGAAACCTGTTCTGGGATTATGCGTTGTTCTTTATTATAATTACTGGTGCTACAGCAGTGCCTAGCAACTCTAACAAAGTATCAGGGTCTTATTGCAGAAGTCATTGTGTGAAGGAAGAATAAAAAAAAAGAAAATGACTGTCTTAGGTATTTCAGGCAGGAAAGAGTATGAAATGAGCACCCAGATTGGCAGTGTGTCAGCAAGTTTTAAAATATGAGTCCTGTGAGAAATAAAATATGTGAAAACCAAAGGTTGCCTTTCATATATTTAACTAATAAGAGGAGTCATGAGGAGATCCTAAGCACGGAAAAGGAAATGAAGAAACATTAGACCAGCAGCAAGGGAAATGTGTGAGGCTATTTTAAAAATCCTTGAAGACACCTTTCAGAAGAAATAAGGCAAATTTTACTGGGGGGAGAAAATCCTAGTATCAAGCACTGAAAATATTATTTCTACCTCTATTCCTCATGTTTATATATTTATAGCAATCTGGACATGGTGTATCCATGCCATTTTCCTTCTACTTAATATCTAATTGTCACTGTACTATTGATCTACCCAGCTGTGAGTGGTTTCTAAGCACAGCATGCAAATCATCTAGAGGACTTTGCAATTTCTGTTTAGTAGTTTGGCTTCAGGATATTTTGTTGTTTTTTGTTTTTTTTTTTTTACCCTAGTGCTTTCTGTGGTTCACCATCACTCCCCCCAGTGACTAATTTTTCCCATCTTATCAAAGAGAAACTTCTGTGGTGAGCTGAAGCCACATCATTTTTCTATGGCTCTGTTCTTCCCCAGCTAGGGCAAATAGTTCTGGAGATCAATAATTTTTATTTTCTGTGGTCATATTTTCAATCTTGTTTTTCAGTGTAGTTCCCTCCCTGTTCAGTGGTTTGCTGAAACCTTTGTCGTAAAACTAATGCCCTGATTAGTCAATAAGACTGAGCTGATTCCAGAGATATGGGGGAAATCCCAAGGGAAATATTCTGCATGCTTCTTTTTAGAAGTTTCTAAGGCCCCCCCACCTCATAAAAGTCCACAGGGCTAATTAAAGGACTTCCCAAAGAGCAAGTATCAGAAGAATGCATTTTTTCTCTTCATCTTGATCATGAGTAACAGATGTTACTCAGTTCACAGCCCACATAAAAATCCATCCCTTGCAGACAAGGCTATGAGGTAGAGGAGGTTTGGTCCTGTGGCCAAATAACTGCACAGATGAAGCACAACCTTTGCAGAAATAATGAAAATCAATCATCAGTAAAAGTTTCTGAAGGTTCAGTTGACTGATGTTACATTCCTCTGGACAAGATATGGTACAGAGGAGGAGACCTAACTGAGATCAGGAAAACAGAATTATTCATGGTTGCTGCTTCTCAAACAAGAGGAGACTCAAAAGTTACTCAGCCCCTGTATGACTACTCTCCAAGGCTTGGGATTTTTTTAGCCCTGCAGTTATATCTACCAAAGTCACATGCCTCCCAGGCTGCAGAGGCCCTGTACATCCATAGACTAGTGCTAGCCCATTTCCCTCATGCTCTTGGCAGTCTCATTGTATCATAATGCATAGGTGCCACTGTTTAATACAGACATAGAGATCTGGTTTTCAACCTGCTCAGTCTAGGTTGAGCTCCTGGAAGGAGGGACAGTCCAAGGCCATAGGTGGTGCTCTCAGTTCACATGGTTCACTGGCTTGTCTGCTTTTAGTCCTTGACAGGGAAGAAGCCAAAACTTCTCACATTTTTTCATAAAAAGATTTGCAGTCATGAAGGAATCCAACACCTGAAAGTGGTTAAAAAGTTCAGTCCTTGCTGAAACTAAGAGACGGGCAAAAGTTTTGCTGAGTGTCTTGTGAAAGTGCTTCTCCTCACCCACCCCCAGATCTGAGACAGAAGAACTCAGACTGAGCTGGGAACACTGCTGTTCTCCAGCACTACAGAGAGATACCTTGAGCTGTTTCACTGTGTCCCAAAATAGAAAAATACACATACACAGCTGACATCTAAACACTTACTGCCTCTGTATGCAGTGCATTCACCACAGTTCAATTCTGTACTAAACCACTTTAAAATGTTCATTATGTGGGAGAGGATAAAGCAGGGAGAGCACAACCTTATTCAAGAGCATAAATGGGTTTCTCTGGCAACCATCACAAGCTGCATTACATAGTAACTAAGTGTAGAAGCATCTATATTTAGGTTCTGGGTCTGCTATTGACCTATCTTTTTTGCTGTAGAAAATTAACACATTTCTCTGCGTCTAGTTTGGGGAGAGTTCACCCATCCACTGCCAACGAGCTAGAGACGATGGCTTTGAAATTTGAAACTGCCTGAATAAACTAATTTTTCTTCCCTTTTTATGTTTGGATTTTAGTGCATTTTCTTCATATGTTCTTAGCCTGCTCCAGACTTAACAATTAATTTTTTTTCAACTGTGTCTTCACTGGGCAACAGATGCCCTCTGCCTGAAGATGCAGGTGGGCAAGCAGAGATCATAGAATGGTTTTGGGTTGGAAGGAACCTTAAAGATCATCTTGTTCCATGTGCCTGCCATGAGCAGGGACACTTTCCACCAGATCAGGTTGCTCAGAGCCTCATTCAGCCTGGCCTTGAGGATGCAGTGTGCCACACTAGTCTTCACAAGCTGAGCAGTTTGGAGACTTCCACCATACGGCTCTTGCAGGGCACAGTAAACCTTAGAGGACCAGGAACTGCTTATTCTATTCATAGCCATGAGCCCAAGCACATAAAGGACGGCTTCTGATTCCTATTCAGTGATCTCTGAAGTTCAGAGCCTGGATCCTTCACTGTCTGGAAGCACTTCAGCCACAGAGTGAACACACAGATGTGTGTTTGCTGAACATGCCTAGCACCACTGTAGGTGCTTCATGTGTGGAGAAAGGGTAACAGCTCCATTTATGATCTTGGTAGCTTGGGCTCGATGAACCACAAGGGATCTGTATCCACTGTTTTCAAAATGTCCGTGGAATCTGGGAGTGCAAATAGTGATAAGGATCACCCTTTTCATATCCAGCTTCCAGAAAAAGGATTCAGTTTCAGCACCTGAAATAATGCCATCGGAAATCACATGTCCCTTTTCTGAAAGTGTTGATTCTATACATAACACAGAGGCATCAAAAAGAGTAACACCCAAGGGAGCTAAAAATGATTCTGAAATATTCTGGAAGAAATTAGTTATGAGGAACTCTTCTTCATGGTTTTGTAATTTTTAATATTTATATCTTTCCTTAACATCACATAATTTCTGTGGTCATCCTTTCCCCCACCTTACCATGGAGAGATAATTACAGAAGGTATTCTTAGAAAAGGAACAATGGAACTAATTATTACAAATCACATTGAAAGAAAAAGTTGTCATGTTTCCAAAAATTAAGAAGAAATGCGCATACGCTGCAGGGGAATATCCACAAACAGCAACTAAAGACAATAACAACTCTGTTTATACACATTTGGCATGTGTATCTCAAATAATAGTGATAGCTTGACATCCCAAGATTAGCTCATGGATTCATTATCCTTTGAATGAATCTAATGTTTTTAAAATTACTAGGTCGAGCCTCAGGCTGACATAGGAGTTATGTAAGTCTTCTTTCAACAGCCAGCCTATATGAAGTACTTCCTGTTTTCCTATATTTTGTTTTCCATAGGTTATTTGGCAGATCTCTGCGTGAAACGGCAGCAATTTTACAAGCCACAAAACAAGGTTTTGGCAAAAGTTGCCACCACAATTTACGTATTTACTTATTGCTCAAGCCAATAGAAATGTTTTGTTATGAACCCAAATGATTATTTTAAGTTCTGACTTAGTTCACACTTTCTTCTAGAAATCAAATTTATAAGGAAATTGGTGAGAGAGGGAATGAATGAGGGAACAAGAAGCTGAGTGGAAAATCTTCTGAACCCTCAGGCTCCAAGGGTTATGGGTCTGAAGTGCAAATGACAGCCACTTCCTTGTGGAGTACCTTAGAGGTCCCTACCAGCAATAGTATTGTGTAGTGTCTGTATAATGAACTGGATAAGGGGAATGAGTGTTCCCTCTGCAGGTTTTCAATGTCAAAACAGGAGAGCAGTCAATATGCTGGAGATAAGGATGGAGAAATGGGCCAAGGTGAACCTCTGACAGGAAAGCAGTTTTTCAGGTAAGATCTGGAGTTCTTGGTGAACATCAAGTTGAACACAAACCAGCAATACATCTTTGCAGCAAGGAAAGCCAACTGCATGCCAGGCTGCATTAGCAAGAATGATGACATGATTATTTCCCTGTCCTCTGTGATTGTGAGACCACAGCTGAGGTGTTATATCCACTTTTGGCCTCTGCAATACAAGAAAAACATTGACAATCTGGAGCCAGTCTAGCAGAGAGCCATCACAAGGCTGGAGCACGTGGTGTAGGAGGAGAAGCTGAGAGAGTTGCGCATGTTCAGCCAAAAGGGGAGAGGGTAAGGGGAAAACCTGCTGTTTGCAAATACAGAACAAGGCTCTTATTGGAACTGCATGCTGTAAGGACAGGAGGCAACAGACACAAGCTGAAACTTGGGAAATTTGAACTTATTTAAGGAAAATGTTTTGTGTCTGTGCATCTCTTCCTCTTTTGCCAGTCAGCCTGCTGGGAAACCAGTCCCTTCTCCAAGGCACCAGCCAGCTGTTATAACATGAATTATAAATTTACTTACCTGATAACTGGATTCAGGAAAAAAAACAATGAAACTTCAGCACTGACCAGACAGCCAAGACAAGGGCAAAATTCCCTCCCTGAATCCCAAACAACCGCCAGAAAGGCATCAGACTTAATCTCTCTCTTATTACAAAGAGGAAGAGCAAGAGCTCTTCATCTGACTGCAAAATGGTACTCAAAGACAGGTTAAAATGCCCAGATACTTTCAGAAGAAGACAGGGGACTCTTCCAAGTCTGTGTTCCTTTCCTCCTGATGGGCTGATCCAAAAGGCTTATGACACAGCCAAGTGTCCAACTCACTGCAGCCACCAAAGGCTGAGCTGTCAAAGGAGACAGGAGAATGGCTTGACAAGACACAAGTTATTATTTTCTACTCTTTGCTGAGACAAAATTTCATGCTGATCTTCATAGTTCTGTAGCCTGAAAGACAAAGTCAAGAGTAAAAAGTAAATTTTTTTGTTCCTTCAGGATGGCATTGGCTAAACTGGAACTTTCTCCCCCCACAATCAAAAAAATCACGTAGAAAACCAATGTTTCTCTTGGCCAAAAGTTCAAAATCAAAGAGAAAAAATCAGCCTGCTATTTGTTTTCCAGCCTAGGACTAGGCTGCATTACATGTGCTTAGGCAACTGATGCTAAGTGGGCTAGGGATTGCTGTTACTACTGCTTACAGCAGTGGGGGTTTATAGCTTGTGAGAGACCAACAACATAACAAGCAGATGAAATGTGTGGACTGTTGCCTATACAGCACCAACATCTTTATAAAAGAAACATCTTTTTTAGGCTTTACATCAATTCTGTCACAGACTTCCAAGAATAAATCGTCCCTCCCCTGCCTTGCTAACATGTCAGCCCAAGCATCAATCTGTAGGCTTAAGTCACTTAAAAATGCTGATTCCAAAGGTCTTATTAGTTAACAACAACAAAAAATAAAATAAAATTAACAAAGAGATTAAATTAAACTATATGTTTACATTCTTTTTGAGAACATATGCATCTAATTCTTGCCTCCATTTGGAAAGGGGAAAAAAAAAAATCAAGAAACACCTCCCTTGGATTCTCTCCAAGAGCAACCAGGTAAGGGCTAGCTAACATATATTCTTAGCTGAATTAAACCAGCTATCACACCTTTACAAATGACGTGCACAATAAATTAAAGTGTAAATAAAAGATTTATACGTGCTATTTTTCATATTATGCCACAAATATCTTGTGAGAGGCTTATATAATAAGGGGTAATTCTGTATAACACTGGAGCTTCTTTTTTGCTTTTTTCCTCTGCCTGAGAGGGATGGATGAACCTGAGAGTGGTGCAAAGAAATTAACTGTGGGCTTTAAATTATCACTGTCTCTTAATCAAATTATGGCATTTTATTAGGCTTTTAATTAAGATCTAGTCAAGAGAAGTAAGGACATAGGAAATGCTAATACCTAGACGTTAGATATTTCAGAGGAGAAATCACCAGAATCATTTTGCTGTTGTGTCTTGCAGACCATTGGAGCAAGATCATCCAGCAATTAATACCACAGGCATTGTCATGAGGGGCTTAAGGTGTTAAGGAGAGAGGGATAAAAAAAGAAAGGTTCTCCTTTTGAAGAAATTGTAGTTTGATAGCTGGATAGATAGGTATCACTCAAAACTTTGGAGAGAAAGCAGAGAAAAGATGCAGAGCACTTCTCCAGACCAAGCTGAATACCCACAACTGGTACATAACACATTCCTTAGGGGCATTGCAGAAAGGTTTTATCCTGTCATGTAAAGACAGGTGTACAGAAGTGCCTGGAGGATTTTTTCAAAGCCTGAACAACTTCTCTTATATACTAAATTTCTGCTTCTGACAAGCTCCAAATCCTTGAAAATGAAGCAAGAGTGATAAAATACAACCAGCACATGGTCACGACCCCAGTCACAGCCCCTGCTCCAGGGAGGCTGCACATCGAGCCTCCCCGCCTGCTGCTTCACCCACAGCAGAGAAGAGCCAGAGATGAGTCAGCTTCACACCTTCAGAAGCCCTTGGAAAACTAGCCTGGTTAAAATCACTGCATTCCCACAGTATCCACTTTCTTTTCCAGGATAGAAAGTGCGGGTGTCTGTGATTTTAATTAAACCATTGACAGTAAGGAATTAATCACCTTTTATGTTTGAAGCTACCCCGTAGCCTGCTTGACACCCTGTACCCTCACTAGTGTTCCCCAGTAGTTTTCTGATGTTACTCACTCCTTCTCACTCTTCAAGGGGAAGCACTAAGGGGTAGGCAACGCCCTGGCTATTCCTGCAGGCATGGAGGGGTGGCTGTGTTTGCCTCGCTCAACTCTTACCAGAGACTGGCTGGACTGTGATTAGATTCATCCTGAACAGAGTTTGACTCCAAAAGGATTACTGGATAGCTGAGAAGCTGTTTTCCTCAATTCCTGTCATATCTTTCAAGAAATGCCATGTAGGATGAGGACTGGTCAATGGTCTATACATCATGTATAGCGGACAAACTTGTTTGGAAACTTTTTAAGTGGCTTAGATGCTGCTGTCTCTGTGCCCAGCAGCAGCTCCTTTCCCCAGGACTTCTCCAGCCGACTGGCTAAAGTGGGAGTAGCTACCAGGGGACGGGGGTGGGCGCCAGCAGACTGGGATAGAGAGGAGGGCTGTGGGAGAGGGAGCGGAGCTTGGAGAAGGTGCAAAAGCGTGGAACCCCAGGCTGGGCTCTTCCTCCATGGCGCACCATCATGGGTTGCTCTGGTTGCAGCTGCCTCTAGAGGGCTCATTGCCTTGTCGGAGAAACAGCAGCCTTTGTCCTCGCCTATGAAAAATACTCCATGGCATCGCATTGTTTTAAAATCTCCCCTTTATTTCCACGCAGATCTCCAGTGGCTTGGCCTCAGAAGCAGAGGTGTGGTGTGTGAGGGATCTGTATGCCCGCACTGCCATCACAGTGTACAGAATGCGCTCCCCATCGGGGAGGCAATAGGGATGTCCACTTCCTGTCCACCCTGTCCACTTCCTGCCTCCCCTTTTCATCCTTCAACTCTCCGAAAGTTTAAGGCCTTGCGTGCACTCCACTGCACTTGAAGGCTGCCAAACATCTGCTCATACCAACACTTCTTCTGCAGAGCTGAGGCACGTGTGTGCTGTGGTTCTTTGTTCTGCTCCTCAAGATGGGCTGATGCAAAAGCCTAGGGTTCCAAGACCGATCCCACAACTAGGTCTCACATCTGAACAAAATTTCTGACCAGTAAAAGGAGAAGCCCAGTACAGAATTTGTACTTAATTAATCCCCTGCTTTCTGATGGCTTCCTCAATTGAAGGACCTCTATTTCCACACATGTGGAAGATATTAAGGGCTGGCTTGCTTCTCAAGGATCAGTTGCTAAGTATATACTGCATATTTTAAAAGCTTTTTTTTTTTTTTCCTGTGGGCAGGAGCTACACCTGCAAGGAAAATTGTGAATATGCTGCTTTAACACTGTTAGCACTGTTTAGTCATTCTTGTGACTTTCTTTGTGAACTACACTGAATTTGTCAGTTTTAGATTTCATCTGCAGTTGTGTTGCCCATTTTTTTAGCTTTGTCTTACTGCAGGATAACTTTGCAAAGCAAGCAACTTAAAATCCGAAGCCCTTTGTTTAGCCTAAATTTTATAAGATTCAAAAGCCTCTGGAGATCATCTGCATTTGGTTTAGACTAGTCAAACAAAATGAGATCATCTCACTGTCCAGCACTTCCTTACATGGAGCTTTTGCCATCTGCAGCCAAAGGCAACAAAAAGGGTCTTGTTGGCAAGGTCAAAACATGGGCAGGCCCCCAGAAGGCCACATGGTTTAGCAGTGGTGCAAAAATCCCCAGCAAGTCCAGACCATGAGTGTTAAAAGCTAAGTCTGATAGCACCAGTTTGCTAGCAGATTCATCCAGCAAACTGATCTTCTGCTCCCATGAGGAGGGATCTCCACCTGTCCTTCATCCCAGGTTGTATACTCCGTTCCCTCGGTTGGAATACCACTGGTTGGGCTCATTTGTCTCCTCTTTCCAAGGAATGGGAAGAGCTTCTGACAGAGAACAATCCCTGCAGTGAGGAATGAAGATGAGACTCTGCCTACTGAAGTTCAATCCTCTGGCATAAACCAGTGAACACTGTACACAACAACAGTATAAAAAGTCTTTATTGAAGCAAGAGTGTAAATCAAAGCAACAGACAAAAATACAAACATCAGTCATCAGAAAGGTAACAAACATTTGACTCGGCAGTGCTGTGTGCCAAATGCCCCAGCATGCAAGAGGAGACTGTCATGTTGTTGATGGTATTTTGTCATAATTATGTGCAATTTGCTTACAATGTTGTTCAGCACAGATAAAATAATTATCAGTCTTTATTTGGCTTCTTGCTGCAGAGTGACTGTTTCAGTCCTGAAACAGTCCTTTTAATCTGCATTGCTTAGTTCCTTCTTGGTGAGAGGGTGAATATTTGTATGGACATAAGCAACTGGACTGCATATTTCAGAGGCTGCCAGATTGATTTCATGCATTCTTGGCGGATTAATTCTCTGGGGGCTGCTCACAATTGCTTTGGTGCCCTTGATTGATAAACTTTATCTTGTGGCTCCATGCTTTGGAAAGCCAATTTGCATGTATACTGCCAATGATTATTCACTCATTATTTTTATGAGGGAACTACACACAGGCCTCTCCTGAAAAGCTGTCCTAGAGATGCTATATGAACATAAAGCTTTATGATTGTTCCACCACAAAGGTTTTTCTGGTGTCTAAGAGGTGAACAAGATCATTCTCGGGATTTGCAGCTGCTGCAGAGCTAAAAGAAGGTTCTTTTCTGTAAATGGTGCTTTTTATTTGCACAGTGCTCATAGGCAGACACATCTCTTGAGGGAGTAGAGAGCAACACAATAAAATCCTCATAAGACAGAACACCTTTCTCCTTTGGGACCATTTGGGATCAGTGTAGATATTTATCAGATAATCTATGCTCCTCTGCATCATTTCATCTCAGCATGTGGAGATGCCATCAAGCTGTCAGGAATGTGATATTCACTGTGATTTCAGAACATTGTGTTGACTTTCACTACTTGAAAAGAAAGCTCTACTCAGTCATGCTCAGTTTTCTTGTAGAGACTCTACTGGTTTAAAAAGATTTAAAAAGAACAAAGATATTTCGATAAAAAGGGCCAATTTTGGCTTCCATAGACTCATCACTACATTCTAGGACAACTCCCTATAACTAAGAAGGTACAAGGACAGTTGAAATCCTCCTGCTAAAACTCCTCTGCATGCTTCGTTCTCCATCACATTTTTCCTGCAGGCTACAAGCAGAGATCCGGACAGAGCATGGCTTTGTGTCTATGATTAGGGGTCAACTGTGATCCTGCAGAGTTTTTGCACCTCTCCAGTGGTGCATGGAGGACCAGAGGTGGGCTGC